CATCATGGTTGAGCCTGTGGGGACAGTCAGCTTGTAACCATCATGGTGGCAAAGTGCAGGCCAAGCAGGGCAGTGGGGGAATCGACATTGTCTTCGTAATTGTCAGCTCTGGACATCATTTGATGGGATCTTCCTGTGTCCATCCTTGCAGACAGTATGGACTTCTCAAGCATGACACTCACCCAGATCAAGCGCCAGGAGATGGATTCTCAGGTAAGAAAACCAAGGCACGTCTACGGTCGGGCTGTCTCCTTTCCCTGCACTTTGACCCCCGAGTTTGGGGAAAATGAAGCCAGGTATGGGCATGCATGTAATAATCCCAGCACTTGGAGGGCTGAGGCAGGACTACCATGAGTCTGAGGCCCGTATGTGCTATAGAGCAAGAATCTATTTAAAAAACAAAAACAAAAAAACAAGGGGCTGGAGAGATGGCTCAGAGGTTAAGAGCACTGACTATTCTTCCAGAGGTCCTGAGTTCAATTCCCAGCAACCACATGGTGGCTCACAAACATCTGTAATGAGATCTGGTGCCCTTTTCTGACCTGTAGCATACATGCAGGTAACACTGTATACATAATTAATAAATAAATCTTTAAAAACAACAACAAAAAAAAAACAGCAGAGTTGGCTTAGCAGTTAAGAGCATTTGCTCACAACAACCTGTAACTCCAGTTCTCAGGGATCCAACACCTTCTGGCCTCTGTTGGCACCTATGTACTCACTTGAATATGTACCCCCACACACACACATGTGCACATAATTAAAAATGGGAACAAAGAGGAGAGAAGGCTAAATATTATGTTGTATACCATAATTCTGGCTCTAGGGAGGTTAAGAAACAGTGTGGTTTAAGACCTGTGCTACCTGTGATCCTGTCTCAAAAGAATTATACTGGGGGCTGCGCTATAACCTTCGCAGGCTCCTCTCAGGCTAGGAAGATAGCTCCATCCATCAAGTAGATCTGAGTAGGCTGTGGAGATGGGATGGATATGATGGAAGAAGGGATCTGAGCCACAGAGAGACCAGATTAAGTCTAGGAAAGGCAAGTCCCAAGGAGTGACCAAAGGAGCTTTACAGGGGCTAGGTGTCACTAGGTTTTAGAGCACCTGCCTAGAATATCCCAGTGAGGGGCTGGGGTGTGGCTCAGTGGTAGAGCCCCTGCCTGG